AAGACTCTTTCAGACATGCAATATGTCCTAAACATTGATCGCAAATAAAAGAATAATTTGGTTCGAATTTTTTTTATATTTAAAATTTTAAAATCTATTAAACGAAATTGCCCAAATAATGAAATAATTTATTAAATAAAATCAACTGTCCTCTGAAATAAAAAGAAATTGAGAACGTTCGTAAAGAAATTATGATCTCTAAATGATAATCAATAACTCTAGCAATGTCGAACTGACGATATCGAGTAAAATAAACACGAATACATTATACGGGTGAATAAGTGATAGATTTATAAGAGTATTATAAAAATTTTTTTATCAATATACAGTTGACATACAGTATCCTATGTACTGTCGGTGAACAGAAATGGAATACTGTTCAGTACATAGAAGAGTGAATCGTGTTATAGTTAGTGAATTTGGAACCCAGCTTATGAATGCGTCATGCTAAGGTCCAGTTGTTTATAAATAATTAAGTGGAAATGGAATCTTTTGCGATTAAGAATTTTTGTTTTCTTTTTTTGCAGTAAAAAAAAAAAGTTGATAATTATGGAAGCGGACGTGAGATGTAACGTCGTGCAATGCCGTAAGGTTTTAAATACCGAGGGTCGCGCTTGCGTGACAACCTGTTCTCGTAAGAAGAAGCACATCTGTATTGTTTCGCATAACTTATTTAAAAAAAAAATGATTTAAAATTCTTTCAACATTTTCCTTAGATATCTTTTGCGGTGCGTGATGGAATCAATTTTGCGTATCGGTTAAATGCCATATATTTATGTTGATTGGAATTTTGTATCATTAGTGGATTGTGCTAACAACGCGTTTTCGTCGGCTTTGGTCTGCCCTGCTTGTGAAACAAGTTTAACAGAAAAGTTCGTTTAACCTTTTAAAGTGTAAAATTCACTCAAGAAGTGACTTAATGCCGTATATAATTTGCCACTAACCTCTGCACCTATTCAGTGATGATATTGTATTCGCCGAGTTGAATCCGAGTGAAGACTATAAATCGGTAAAATTACCATTCTCCCAAGGCATAATTGCGTGACTTGTAAATAATTGCTTTTTAGTCTGTTCTTTCAGGTCTGCGACCGGAAATTGTTATGGAAATTTGTTCGCGGGCTCTATCATTTTGGACGTATCAAACAACTCAGGAGGCATGCTTTCAAGAAATGATGTACAAGAGTCTGGAAGACAAGTATACGCAATTGGAGAAGCAAGTACAGGGAGTAGTGAGAGATGCTCAAGCCGAAATCACAAGTGAGTCTTTGTTGAATGATTTTTTCTAGTTGAATCAATGATCCTCCAAGTTAATACGCAAATTCAAAAGCTCTGAGAACGAAAGTTCAAGGTGAACACAGAATCATATGGTGTTGGACATTGTGATTGTTCGTTTCTTAAATGAATTGTTTTATTTAGCTTTGACGAAAGATATAGAACTTGAAAAGCGGAAAACTCATGATTTAGCAGAACAACTACAGGAGAAAGGAAGACAATTTTCAAAATTACAGGTTAGGTAATGTTTATGATAATTGTTGTTTTGCTTATTAAAAATTAATTTCTGTATTTCGTTGTAGGTCATGTATGATAAATTAAAGCGTCGTTCACTAGTTCCTACGATGCAACAAACAGTAAATAGTACCGCTGGCAATGTTACCGGCGGCGGAAAAATGGTAGGCAGAGTAGACCGAGAAATTGGAATTGGTGCATTTTCGTTCATTAAAAATGTTCTTCGTCACATGATAGAGTTTTCCTAATTTGCAGCAACCTGGAATGCAACGTCTGTACGGAGAAAATGTGATGTCGAATAGAACGATCATAAATCA